CCGATCTGCTGTTCTGAGATCTCTCCACAGGTGCTCTATGGGATTTAGATCTGGACTCATTGCTGGACACTTCAGACCTCTGACAGAGACCCAGCTTTCTGACACTGGGCCCTATATTGTGCCCCAAAATTCACTGGTGGTCTTCAGATTTCATAATGCCATACACACAGTCAAGACACCCAGTGCCTGAAGCAGCAAAGCAACCACAAAACATCAGTGAACCTCCACCGTGTTTGACTGCGGGACCATGTTCTTTTCTTTGAAGGCCTCATTTTGTTTTCTGAAAATGATCAAAAAGCTCTATTTTAGCCTCATCTGTCCACAGGAAATTCTCCCAGAAGAACTGTGGCTTCCTCATGTAAGTTTTGGCAAACTCCAATATGGCTTTTTTATGTTTCTGTGTCAGCAGTGGGTCCCCTGGGTCTCCTACATAGCGTAGTCATTAGCAACAGTAGTAGTTGTCACTGTGGTAGTAGTAGTGGTATAGTAGTAAGCTGCCCAGTGTTTCATTGTTTGTTGTTGTGTCCTGTTGCTTTTCTTCTTTTCTCTCTCTTCTATCCACTCACCCCAACTGGTTGAGGAAGAAGGCCACCCACCAAGAGCTGGGGTCTGTCGGAGGTTTCTTCCGTTAAAGGCAGTTTTTCGTCCCTGCTGTTGCTAAGTGCTTGCTCAAGGGAGATTTGTTGGGTTTTTCCTCTATAATAATAATTGTAAGGTAACCTTACTTTGTAAAGTGTCCTGAGATGACTTGTGTTGTGATTTGCGGTATACAAATAAAACTGAATTGAAGTGAACTGTGACAGCAGTATTAGTATCAGCAGTTGTACTTGTGGCTATAGCATTATAGCATCTAGTATGGTAAAAGCACTAGTGTCAACAGTAGTACAGCCGTAGAAGTACTGGCAATAGTAGTAACAGTGTATGGCCTGTGCTGTCATGCACCTACAGTAAACTGATTATCGTTTGGAGCACTGTGACACATTTCTCATTATTGTTTTATAAAACAGTCAATCAACTAATAGAGGAAATAATCAAATTAACTGTTTTCATTCCCTTGAGGGTCGTTGTAGTTGATAATAATAGTAACTGTGTAATACTGTGAAACTGTGATATTTTTTGAGACAGTTATTGTACCATGAAAATATCATACTGTTGCAACCCTAGCTGGTACTCATGTCACTCTGCAGCTCACTGTGCATCTTCTGTGAATCCATTTTCTTCCACAGTTCTACTGTTGGGAAAAGCACAACTGTGTCTATCATTCTGTGATAAAAATATGTAAAAGAAGTGAAAGCTGTGGTCATTAGGACAAGATAGAGGTCATGTTTTATACTAGTTCAACAGCTTCCTCACTCTAGGTGTTCTGTCACCACTACAGCCTGACTGTTTCTCTTCATAAAGATAATGTATAGTGTTTCTCATTTTTACCTGTTTAAAAAAAGATTCAAAGAAAATAGAATCGTTTGAAAAAAATGAATGAAATTTAAAAGTTTAATCGACTGTAGAGCAACCTCATCACCAGTGAGCCGTGGGCGTCCATGACCGTCTCAAGTTCACCATTTGTCCTTCCTTAGACACTGTTGGTAGGTACTAACCACTGCAGACCAAGAACACCCACCAAGACCTGCAGTGTGACTGGGTCAGAGATGCTCTGACCCAGTCATCTCACCATCACAGTTTGGCCCTTGTCAAAGTCACTCACATCCTTACACTTGCCCATTTTTCCTGCTTCCAACACATCAACTTCAAGGAATGAATGCTCACATGTTGCCTAATATACCCCACACATTGACAGGTGCCACTGTAGTAAGATAATCAATGTTATTCACTGCACCTGTCAGTGGTCATAGCATTATGGCTGATTGGTGTATTACTTAGTATAGTGATTAGATATGACAGCTGACAGACTGAAAGTGAGTACAGACCCTTGTGGCATCTGACATGAGCAGCACATATAGAAGGCCTGGATCACAGCGCTGAGCCGACTGGCTGTCATGGAGATGACATCCTCCCCGTCAGCATACATCTCTGTTTCCATGATGATCTGGGGGTCTAGCAAAGAAGGAAGCTTTGGTGTGGAGCCAGAGTGGTCAACCTCTCGCTGTTTGAGAAGCAGAGAGGCTATCTCGCTGCTGGAGGACGAAGACGGGCTCTTCCTGTTGTTGTCCAGCTCTGTGGAGATAAGCACCAGCCACTCTTCCAGAGAGTGCCACAGCAGCTCCAATGGCTGCAGAGAGACAGACAGGAGGTGAGAAACACACAGAAGCAAAGAGAAAATAAAGCGAATGATCCATAAAGACATTACAAGAGAGGAGGGAATTTGACCTTCAGAGTATCTGCAGGTTGTAAACACTGTCATTCAATTAAGGCTCATTTCAAAGACATAAAGCTCCACAGTACAAGCAATGAAAATGCAGAATTTACAAAAGGTCAGTGGGCCTCATTCACAAACCGTACACTCACACAAATCTGTGCTTAAACCATGTGCATGAACAATTTATGCACAAATCCAGGATTTATCAATATTTTCTTAGCTAATTTGGTTGTGCTCTGCAAACAAATTTAGGACTGTCTCAGACCCTGCATGAGTAAATGATGGACCAGCTGTCTTATAAATGCAAACACATTTTATCTAAATGCACATTATATTAAAAATACTTTAATATAATTAACTATATAATTAATCTACTTGAATATAATTTATGGCTTTAGACATTAATTTACTAATGCTTTGGCCAAATGCAGCCTATTAAATAACTATGAAGCTGACGCCCTTTCATCCTCATCAGTTACTGTCAGAATTCAAATATTCACCTATCCCAGTCCCAGTGTTTTGGTCCTAGCTTACCAGTACATGAGAATGTCCATATTGAAATATAACAGTGCTGGTTTTCATTGTTTTTATTGACATGGCCCATAAAGAGGGGCGGTTCCTACCAATTTCTAGTGCCATGAAATTGCACATACAGTGGTGTGAAAAAGTGTTTGCCCCCTTACTGATTTCTTATCTTTTTGCATGTTTGTCACACTGTAATGTTTCAGATCGTCAAACAAATTTATATATTAGTCAAAGATAACACAAGTAAACACATCATGCAGTTTTTAAATGAAGGTTTTTATTATTAAGGGAAAACAAAATCCAAAACTATAGATCCCTGTGTGAACAAGTGTTTGCCCCCCTGTCAAAACACTGGTTTATCGCACCTGAGTTCAATTTCTCTGGTTTTCGGGCATGAACTGCCTTTTTAAGGTCATGCCACAGCATCTCAATTGGATTCAGGTCAGGACTTTGACTAGGCCACTCCAAAGTCTTCATTTTGTTTTTCTTCAGCCATTCAGAAGTGGACTTGCTGGTGTGCTTTGGATCATTGTCCTGCTGCAGAACCCAAGTTCGCTTCAGCTTGAGGTCACAAACGGATGGCCGGACATTCTCCTTCAGGATATTTTGGTACACAGCAGAATTCATGGTTCCACTTATCACAGCATGTCTTCCAGGGCCTGAAGCAGCAAAACAGCCCCAGACCATCCCACTACCACCACCATATTTTACTGTTGGTATGATGTTCTTTTTCTGAAATGCGGTGTTACTTTTACGCCACACATAATGGGACACACACCTTCCAAAAAGTTCAACTTTTGTCTCGTCTGTCCACAGAGTATTATCCCAAAAGTCTTGGGGATCATCAAGATGTTTTCTGGCAAAACTGAGACGAGCCTTTATGTTCTTTTTGCTCAGCAGTGGTTTTCGTCTTGGAACTCTGCCATGCAAACCATTTTTGCCCAGTCTCTTTCTTATGGTGGAGTCATGAACACTCAGCTTAACTGAGGCAAGTGAGGCCTGCAGTTCTTTGGATGTTGTTGTGGGGTCTTTTGTGACCTCTTGGATGAGTTGTCGCTGCGCTCTTGGGGTAATTTTGGTCGGCTGGCCACTCCTGGGAAGGTTCTCCACTGTTCCATGTTTTCGCCATTTGTGGATAATGGCTCTCACTGTGGTTCGCTGCAGTCCCCAAGCTTTAGAAATGGCTTTATAACCTTTTCCGGACTGATAGAGCTCCATTATTCTCTTTCTCATTTGTTTTTGAATTTCTTTGGATCTCGGCATGATGTCTAGCTTTTGAGGATCTTTTGGTCTACTTCACTTTGTCAGGCAGGTCCTATTTAAGTGATTTCTTGATTGCGAACAGGTGTGGCAAGAGAAATTGAACTCAGGTGCGATAAACCAGTGTTTTGACAGGGGGGCAAACACTTGTTCACACAGGGCTCTATAGTTTTGGATTTTGTTTTCCCTTAATAATAAAAACCTTCATTTAAAAACTGCATGATGTGTTTACTTGTGTTATCTTTGACTAATATATAAATTTGTTTGACGATCTGAAACATTACAGTGTGACAAACATGCAAAAAGATAAGAAATCAGTAAGGGGGCAAACACTTTTTCACACCACTGTACGTAGCCAATGATAAATGGTAGACACCCGCAGCCTATTAAAAGGCATGCAGGTTCTGATTTACCTCCAAGCAAGTGTTAAACCTTGCTGGAAGACACTGCAGCCTGTGCCTGCAGGAGAGAGCACATCTTTAGAGGTCGACATAAGATGTGCAAAGAAAGTGACAAATGGCTTATCACCCGTTCCCAACAGGTTTTGCTGCAGGAAGTGTTCGGACACAGCTCTCACCCGATACCGCCTCAGGTTTGAGTCCTGTCCTGCTTCTCTCTTGCAACTTCACCGCTTTGTCCATGAGACACCTCTAGGAAAACATTTCCTTATATGCAGAAATGGAGGCATGGTAAGAACATTTCTATGCACATACAGTTTTAGTGGAGGAGGCTCAATATGAGGAACATTATCAGGACTTTCTAACGACCAGCACAAAACTGTTATTAAAGGGTTGGACTGAAACTTCCTTACTTGGATTTCTTTACTTACCTCTTGTGCTATCTAGCTCCTCAAAGCTGTGTTTTATTTGACCAAGTTTTGAGATATCTGTCTCTGACTGCCTCAGATTGTTTCTGCCTCAGCATCAATAAAAATCCAGGTGACCCCAGGAGGAAACATGTAAATAACGCAGACAAACCTAGACACCTTATTTAAAATTCAGAGAAGATGCTCAGACTTGCACAGGCATGTGCACACACATCTTCCATTCATTATGACCCAGTCCCCGAAGAAAGCCCTAATTTCAGCTGTCAGCTGTTACTGAGATCTGACAGTTCCCTCTCCGCAAAAGGATATGATGAGAAT